AAGAATAATGGCTCTAAATATTCCTGGTCTGATCTGAATAATACTCCGCAAATATTTCAGATGATTCCCTCACCTCCACCCCAGCCCAACCACCTCATGATTGAATTTCAAGACTTTATTTAATTAACATGAAATCTAAATGCGCATCCATCACCAATATATCTTGCTGAAGGTGATCCCTGCAAAAAGGCTCTGTAGTCACTAAAGTTTGGGACGTGCCATATACTATGTTTTGGGTGTTCATAGTGCATGCCAATCTCACCAAAGGTTCGCAAAGTCCTAGACCAAGGACCGGTTGAATTATTTGACTCAACCTTTCCCAAACTTACCCAGAAAAACCTCCCTCCCTTGTCTCCCATAGGGTGCCTATTGATATCTAAAGAGCTGGTATACAATATTCCATAGAACTATCTGGAAGATGAATTAGAGCAACATCGAGGTATAACTCTCAGGTTTATATCAGATACCAGAATCTGAAATGAAGAGGGGGAAAAATATTGACTAAGCACATATCAAGAGGGAGATCCAATTCTGTGGCTAATTAAATGGTTTTGAGGAAGTTCAAAGAAGCCTTTTGCAAATAAACTTGATAACTGCATATTGCAAGTGTGCTTGCTCTAAAAGTAGAAAACAATAGTAGAAGAAGCCATCATCACTCACCTCAACCCCCCCGCCCCCCTCTAACTTTGGAGGGAGCCTCAAGGGAGTCAACTCTAGACAGAAGGAATTACTAGAATTGTAGCTGATTTCAAAGAGGATTTAATCTAAGCCCCTCATTTTCAGATGGGGAAACTGAGGCCCAATGACCAGCGCTGACTAAAATCTGGATGCTCTGACCCGACAACGATCGGATTGCAGTTAGTATGCAGGTCTCCTGACTGGCTCCTTGCCCACTGCTACCCCACGCAGTCTCAGCCTTTGCTGGGGTGATAGTCATCTGCAGTTCTCCGCATCCTCTGCTCCTCGCCAATCCCACCACTGTACTTTCTTTACCAGCAGCTTAAATACCTTAAACTGTCTGAATTTTCTGTGAGAGTTCAGTGATTAAATAAAAGGACTCTGAGAGCCTCAATTGTCTAGCACAGAGACCCACCCATATGTAACAGGAAGCTTGACTGGTTATTCGAACAGCCTACTTCTGGCTACACCACTCTCTCTGCCTTCTAGAACCTTGCCTCAAATTTGCAACTGCAAATTGAACACTGGATTATATAAACATATTATGAAACTCTCTAATTTGTTTCATGGGACCAAGTTGTTTTTCCAAATGAAACGCCAGCTTCCACAAGCCTAATTTTAATCACCCATAGTACCTAGCCCAGAGCTAGACACCTAGAGGCAAGCCAGCCAGTACTAATTGTTGAAAAATTACAGGAATTCAGAAAGAGATACTAAAATAATGATTATATTTACAAACTGGTAGCAGGAGCCCCTTCCTCCTCCAAATCACATGTTGGTGGGAAATCAAAAGCAACCAAGTACGTCTCTGACCAAGAAAATACTCAACTCACATAAAAAATTAGGACGCATCCACCCTGTTGGTTTTCTTGGGTTTATGTTAGAAAGGAAGGGAGAGGTAAAGAGAGGAAGAAACATCAATGATGAGAGAGAATCACTGATGGGCTACCTGCTGCACTCCCCCTACTGGGGATCAAGCCCACACCCAGACATGTACCCTGACCAGGAATCCAACCAAAACCTCCTAGTTTATAGGTTGATGCTCAATCACTGAGCCACACCGGCCGGGCTACAGGTTTGTGTGTTTTTTTTTTAAGTCTCCTGGGGTAAGGCAAGATAAGCATAAGAATAGCAATAAAATAAGCTGTTTTAAAAATGAGGGAGAGAGAATAAAGAAAGGGTTAGAAACAATGAAGGGAAAGTAACAAGACAGTGAACCAAACTTACAGAAAAGCCATGGAGTTCACCAAAGCTTGGGGTCCCGCAGGAGGCAGCCTTCAGTTAGGAGCAATAGCGTGCCACCTTTCTTCTTCCCAACCCTCAAGAGACAGTCAGTGAGCTAAACTGAACTACTCGTTTGCAAAAGATTGGGTTGGTAAAAGCACAGATGCAAATTAAGCCAGCCCTATTTTCTGTAGCTCTTTTTAAAAATCCTTTAGCTAAAAAAGACTCAGCTGCTAATCTAAAATGTTGCCTGCCTGTCCTCACCCACAGGCCTGCTTCCTAAGGCTTTAGGCTATCCAGTGAGAAAATGGAGAAGAGATCAAAGTTTATTTATAATTAGAAGACCTCAATTTTAGGGGTGGCATGTCCTCGAGATCACATGGCCAGGGGACAAAGATTTCAGATAGATAGTGGTCTTACTCTAGCAATGAGGTCCAAACAGGTTAACTGTTTTGCCTAAAATCACTTATGAAAACAAAGGAAAAGACTGCCTTCTGCCCCCAACACAAGGCATGTACCTTTCATAAGGATTAAATTGCACTAGCAGCCAGTGGCTTTACCACAAACATATACAACTAGAAAGTGGTAAAATCCTTGGGTCAAATTTTGGCATAGGGTAAATCATGGACGGTTAATAAGGTGAGCCCTGTAGTTGGACTGTCTAGGTTCAAATCCCATTTGATAACTAACAGCTCATTTAACTTCCCCAAGTCTCAATTCCTCATCAGTAAAATGAGAATGACATGGTATACAGATGTTATAAGACTTGCATGAGAGCCATAACAAATACTTAGTACCTGGCAAAAACTAAATGCTCAATAACCATTAAATAAAATCTGTCATGCTCTGCATTTTTCTATAAGTTTTTCATAAATATCTTCTCTTAAATATTCACAGTATCAAGTTCTCATTCTATCCAATGGAAGCCTAGAAAAATAATCCCAAAATTGATTGATATCTTTTGCCCCTACCCAAATAAAAGGTACTTAACTACTACTATTATTACACTACTATGCCATCTGTGTTTTTTTTTCTCCTCTTTCTGTTCTTCTTCTCTCTCTTAATATTCCATTTGCTTGCTCATTAACCTGGGTTTTTATTTCCTCTGTAAAAATGTACATTGTCGCTCCAATCCCATCTCTATCACTATTGGGCTGTGTGGTGTCGGGCAGGTTTCTTAAGCCCTGTGACACTCGGTTGACTCAGTTGACTGGGAACAAGGTGGCGGCGCATGTGAATGACTTCCTGATGGGTGGATGAACTTATTCCACAGTCAGTGTAGTACATTTGGACTAAGACAGGCAGGGGTGCTTTGTTTGATTGGCTTGTTTTCGGCACAAGGTTTTAAATGAAGTTCAGATTAACTCACCTTATTCTCAGAGATCAATGAGACTTACTGCCTATTCTGAGCCCCACTTCTCTTCAGACCTTACACTGACTGCAGTGACATGGATAAGTAACAGAATGACGGATAGAAAGAGGTGGAGATAGAGCCCACAAGACCCGGTTCAGGCTGTGCTTGTGTAGGCTGCTGTCTTCAACAGGGACGAAGATACCCGGCTGGTAGTCAAACATGCCATGTATGTGATGCTTCTGATGTTACAACCCAATGGTTCTGACGGAGAATGGGCTGCAGCCAGCACGGGGAGCTCAGTCCACCCTTCATGCCTGGGATGTTCTAACTCGGACTACAATTACTCTGGGAGATTGAGAAGCCCATCCCTGATTCAGCTTTACCAGAGCTTTGATTCTCTGGCCAAGCACATGCTGTTTGCTGGCTGCATGAGAAACACAAACGGAGAGACCAGGCTGGCAAGGGGCTTGCCAGGGTGGACACTGGCAGTGAAAAGTGCACATAGAAAGCTTAAAAAGACAGGCTCGGCTTTGGAAAGATAAACATAATCAACTATCGAAGTCTGTATTCTGCTTATCTCGATGGCCCCTCTGGAGAGAAAACACACATAAAACATCTAGACGGGATAAGCAGTGGTGGGAGAACCTCTAGAAATGGAAATAGAAAATCTGAGTTCTAGCTCCAGTTGCCTACTGACTTCTTTGTATGGCCACATGCATACCACATTCACTCCGTGGGCGCTGGATGGCTGCTTTCAGGTTGTGTAAGGAAGGATGTATTTCAAAGCCTCAGTATCCTTATCGAGACAAGATACATGCTAAGTAAGAGTCTTTACCTCGTGGTGTAGAGAGTGTAACATGATCAATGTTAAGCCCAGCACAGTGTGTAGATCATAGTACTAGTAAATCTCAAATTAAGTTTAGTGGTTCATATGACCACTTGCAAAGCGAGTGGAACGAATGGGCCCTCTATATAGGACCTTGTAGCCCTAACATTGTTTTTATTCTAAGCTTTGGTGAGGTGAAAGAGAAGGGATTAGCTGGCTGGGAAGTCTAGGCTCAGAATTTAGAGAGCAAAGGCAAGTTTGCCATGGCATCTATATAATGGTGATGTTTACAGTTTGCAATCTTGAGCTAACTTGATTATTGCTACACAAGTCAACTGGCACGTTAAAATAACGATCGCAGTGCTTGGTTGCAGTCATGCACTGAGATGCCTGAGCCCTGTAAATTCCTAGGTCTGGTTCTCCCAGGTTCCCCTGGCAAATCGCTCGGTTTCTGAGTCACTGAGTAAGTCAAGGACCACCTACCCCTAGATTATTACTGTCATTTGAATGGTGCTCCTTGAGGATGGGCCTACAAGAGACTCCACCTGCAAACATCCACAGATGACTCCTTTGCTAGAGTTTGGACGAGGCTTTTCCTGTAGATTTTGTGACCTCGTATCTCCTTTCTAACTGCCAATATCCAATAGACCTCCACCTCATGGCAAGCCCAACAGGACAAATGACCAAACAAAAACTCTGCCAGTGCTAATGAGTCACGGGATGGAAGTCATTTCAGTGGAAAGGGTTGCCTCCTGGTAAGCCCAACCTATCTTGCCTAGTTTGCCAGAGTACTGGACACTGGTGCTGGCCCACCCAGGGTGGCACCACAAATTCCACACACTCTATTAGACATTCAAGTGTAGACAGTATCTTCCACTAGACCAAGCTATTAGATATTAATGTTCAGACAACACCTACCTCACTCCAGACCAGCATGGTACCGAATATGACCTGTAACCCATCAAAGAAATTGTCCCCTATGATGATCACAGTCGCGCCTCCCGTCGTCCATCCTTCACTCGGGCTGATGGCTTTGATACAGGGAGTAGCTGCTTTTCAACACACATGAAAAAGAGAAGGAGTCTGCTGTTAGAATCAAACTTTAATGATGGGAGACTTGAGAAAAAGAAAAAAAAATCTTTTATCTTTTCACGAACAAAAAGTCCCACAAAGATCTCAGCATTTCTTAGCTGCATTAGGACCAGAAACCTTAGGGTGCAATTTCAGTTTTTAAAAGCATTCTTTTCATTCTTTCTATTGAGAGACATATGTTTTCCCCAAATCATTTTCAAACCTGAAATCTTATGAAATAGAATATTTAATTTACGAAAATATTACAGATTATGAAAAATGAACAATGAATGACTTTTTGGAACACACTGGAAAACTTATAGAATTGCTTCATAATGAAATCTACATCCTGAAAATAAAACTCATAGATTTTTAGATAAACATTTCTGTCCAATGGGAAGCAGGAAAGGAGGCACAAGCAAAAAATTATTCTTGCTGAAAGCCTTTTGTCTGTAACACTAACATAGAACATTCCTCGTTAAAAATCATTAAGATTTTTTTTCATTAAATGTTATGGATTCCATTTTAGAGGTGCAAAATGTGCAGGTCACTTGGGGTGAATTATGCAACTGCACAACTGAGTCAGGGCTGAACCACAGAGAGTCTCATGACCTTTGTTTTGCTGTCATTCCCAGGGCATAAACTCCTAGAACTGACTTTTTCAGAATTTCATATCTCTTCCTTTTTCCATTATAAATGGCCCTTGGAGATGGGGAATAATTTGCAATATTGTAATTCCAAACAGACTGGAGGTGGTTTGCCTGATGAGCATGGTGTACTTTCAAGAGAATTGCTGGGCATAAATGTAATTGTAGGATTATGTTTTAGAACTGTCTCAGAGGGCACCTTCCTTCCCCTGAGGATTTTTAACTCTGCGATGCCACGCTGCTTTTGCCATGATTACTTTTATGAACATGACCAAAGCAAAATTCTAGAGTGAGGCATGTGTTGTGCCAGGAGAGAAAATGAGACCCTCCTCTATAAAAAAATTTATTAAGTATCCAAGCCTGACTTTTCAAGTATTGAAGCCAATGCGAGCACCAGTTAATTTTAATGGGGCCAAAAACTGGCAAAAATTATTGGACTTTGTCAAATTTGGCAAAAAGTCATGCTTTAACTTTTGCAAGAAAGAAAATATGAAGCCCAGCCCAAGGGGACCATTGCTCACGTGCAGCCACACAAACAAGCAGAGTGGATTTGATTTTGGTTCAAATTAATCTTATAAAATTGCACAAAGAAATTAGGAAATATCCAAACTAAACATTTCACGTTGGCTGAACTCAGAGTAATGCATTGACAACTCAAACTGGGCAGCTCCGATGCCTTTTTTCTCCTCCACTTTCTCCCCAAAACAAAATAATTACTCAAGAAAATGTAAATGATTCATGACTTGAGAAATTCCTGTCCCATTTTTAACACACATAAAGGTTGTGATTCACAGTTCCACAGGCCTAGGGCTTTTTCTTAAGCAACATTTTTCTCTAAAAATAAAACAGGTTAACATGCATAATCAAGTACCCCAAATCAATGATAAACTATGATGTATGATTTCAAGCAAATTATGAGAGAAATAAACTACATTTCACAACGATGTAAAATTCTTCAAATAAAAGCAGTTTGGAAACATTCTAGTTAAGGTCTCAAAGTCTTAACTCTTAATTTCACACTCAGTATACTCAGTGATACTTCTGAGAAGAATGGAATATTGGTTTAACCGAACTAGCCTGGACAGCGTCACTCCTGATGGGAAAGTGCAGAACTCAGTGGTATTAATAAATGTGGATCCTGTGATTACCTTCATAAAACACAAAATGGTCTTGGCGTTTATGTCTGGATTAGCCTGGGGATTTCTTTTAATTTTTAAATTCTTATTTTGTTTTTTAGTCACCTAAGTATATTTCTTTAGATCAGTGGTTCTCAATCTTGGCTGCACATTAGAATCACTTGGGAATCTTTTTTAAAATCCTGATTTCTGGGCCTCATCTTCCGGAAATTCTGTTTCTTTGTTATTAATGTTGTGGCCCCACCCCATAACAAAGAAACAGAATTTCTGGAGAATGAGGCCCAGAAATCAGGATTTTTAAAAGATTCCCAGGTGATTCTAATGTGCAGCCAAGGTTGAGGACCACTGCTTTAGATAAATAAGGTCTCCTCCAGGCTTTCTCATCATTGTACAGAAGGAGCCAGAAAGTGCTGGTGTAACTTTAAGACTCACCTATAGTTAAGATGTTATAACAGCATAGCCAACACCTGCTGGATTTAGACTTGAGCCCCTCCCTTTTCGTCTTCTTTCCATTTATTTGTAGGATACAGAAGGCATATAAATGTGTGTGTGCGTGTGTTTGTGTGTGTGCTTTCAAACATTTCCTGAGAAAAACTGTGTCTTCAAATTTTGTGAGCAACTGTCCAGAAACAAAGCTAGATGCAACTTGTCAGAGAGAAAAAGAGCAGCAAGTTTGGTGAGGAGACAATATATGACACTATCTTATTAGATTTTTGGAGAAAAAAGTCTTGAAGGAAGTACCCCAGGAAAAGAGTGGCACATCTCACCTCCTGGTCCATCCCACCTCAATACTCACTGTCATCCACTGCCCCTGCCTGGAGACTAGACGCCATTTTTAGAACAGGTAAGTCACGCTGCCCTTTCTCAGTTTAGACCTCGCCTGGTTCTAGAGGTGCTCTTACACATCTGCATGTCCTAGCAGTCTTGAGCAGAAGCTCTATAGTACTTCCCCAGTGGGAAGCTTGGAAAATATGTAAAGGAATCATGGACTGCGCCACTGAGAGAGAGGGGTGAGAAAGAGATGTTACCGGCATTTAGTGCCAGGAGGCTAAGAATGCTGAGTATCTCTAACTCTGCCTGCGATGGTCCTCCAATATGAAGAAATCTAAAATGTCAATAGTGCAATAGTGCAATATTTTCTACCTAAAAAGACCAGGCCCAAGAACAGGTGTTAAGAACTGACAGATCCATACAGGTCAAGTCAAGAAACACAGATGAATAAAACAGTGCAGGGTCTCAGAACAAGCATGAGATGGAGAGATGGCCACTGACACTAGGACCTGGAGAAGCAATGGGGAATGACAGGACGCTGATGGGCTGACAGTTTGCTGAATACATCCCCTACCTAAAGGTGTCACTGCTGCTCAGCTCCAGCCATCTGTAACTCCACACAAACATAGGCCCGGGTTGGGGTTGGGATTTCAGAAAAAAAGATGGGAACCCAGATTTTTATGTGAAATTTCCAAATCTGTAAATGTTGGCAGCTAATTCAATAAACTGTGTTGGCTAAACAAAATGTTTATGAGTAGATTTAACTCATAGAATACCATTTTATCCTTCCACCTGAGACAGGAATTTGCCAGACTAAACGCAGCCCAGGAAATACTTGCAAATATGACCAAACAAAGGCACCCAAATGTCCACAGCAATACTGACAGTAAAATATCCAGGAGTCTAGGTGCCCCCAGCTAGAGAGTGATTAAATAAACCACGGTACATCCATACTATAGAATATTAGGAGTGTCCTTAGAACAGACGAAAAGAAATTCTATAAACTGACATGGGTAGCTGTCAAAATACATTAGGGAGGGAAAAACGTCATTTGTAATCTGGAGGATAGTGTAAACTTGCTTATTTAAAAATGATATATATGAGCCTGTATGTGCATAAATATGTGAGAGCATGAGTGTGAGCTTGTATGTATGTGTGTGTGCGTGTATGCAGTTACCTGTGAACAGGTATGATAGACAAAGGTCTGGAAGGATGTACACCAACTCTTGTCAGTGGGTCCACATGCAAAAGGAATGTGACTGGCGTGGGACTGACAGAGAAGGGTGACCATTAAACTTGACTCTGTAGACATCCTTAGGGTTTGAATTTTTTCAATGAGCACATGTTAAGGCAATGCGTTATTGTGCATAAAAATTAAATAACAGCAGAGCATTTAACTCTGTGAGAGATAAAGATTGTACTTTCTAAAGCAAACTGTTGGTGATTTTTTTAGAAGCCAGGCTGTGCTGAGTAACAGACCCTGAGCCTCTCCTTCCCCCTTCCTTTTGGGTGACTCTGAGGAAGCTCAGTCATCTAACAGCCCAGGACTTAGTTCTCCTGCACTCAGCATACCCAGGGAGTCCCCGAGGTAAGAGGAGGAGAGATAGTTTTTAATATAGTCGCAGAAGATGTAGTCAGTGGAATTTGAGGGTGAAAAGAGTTATAAAAGAATTCAATCCAGCCCAAGAGTCTAACAATCAATAAAATTCTATTGCCAAGAAAACATTACAAAATGGGGGAGGAAGAGGGGGTTTGAATACAAAACCACTTTTACCAGCCAAACCTTGATTTAATTAATAAATGTTCTTCCTCACCAATGAATTTTCACACGTCTAGGTATCCACAAGGACTGCTAGCCAATTCCTGCTTGCAAACCTTATTAAACACAAAAGTTCGGAGGGGTTGGTATTTTTGCTTTTTTTTTTTTTACTTCTCCCCCCCACCCCCAACAGCCACCAAAATAGAGGAGATTTTCCTTCCTTCACACTATGACAATAACGTGATTACCCCACCACAGTTTAGCATAATGGCTCTGAAATGCTCATGGCACATTGCAGAGTTAAAGTGGAAATTATTAGGTAGCTCTTCTTTGTTATAATAATGATCACTCCACAAATAAAAGCTCTTCTCCCAAAGGTACTGCAAGGCACAAAATGCTAATTCTGGAGATTATGTGTGCGCTTTTATTAAATATTACCATGCCCTGTCTGTCTGAGGGCTTCTTTGCTCTGATTGTTTTATGAGTACCATGTTAATGTCATTCCCATCTTGCTAGCAGCAGGCACACATTTTAGCGTTTGCATGAGAGTTGATCAAAGGCCACGTGCTGGGGGAATTGCTGAGAAAACACGGACAAGCGATAAAAATCTAACAGATTAATTGGTTTAAATTTCATTTCAGGGTGTTGAACTTTGGCTCGGGACTCTA